ATATGCAATGCACGTGAAAATTGGGGATCAAATAGTCTCAATGATGGGTATAAAAGGTTGATCGCTGTCTGTCGATTATTCACTGCATTTGGAATAATGTTGACGAACGCAAAATGCCACGTCTAAGTGAAGCCAACCGTCATATCGCCATTGGTTTGCTTGAAGCTGGCCAGTCTCAACGTGCAGTTGCCCGACGCATGAATGTTCACCAAAGCACCATTTCACGGCTCTGGGAGAGATATCGCCGGCAGACTTCGGTAGCAGATGACCCTCGTAGTGGGCGACCTCGAGCGACCACTGCGGCGCAGGATCGCTACATCCGGGTACATCACCTGCGTCATCGAACAGCTACGGCGACCAGTACTGCTCGACAAATACCCGGATTGAGGAGGCTTTCTGCACAGACCGTCAGGAACAGGTTGAGAGAGGCTGGTTTACGTGCCAGAAGACCTTATTTTGGCCCTGTGCTTCGACAACAACATCGTCGACATCGAGTTCAATGGTGCACCAACGTTCAGGCCTGGAACCTACCGAATTGGCGTAGAATCTGGTTCAGTGATGAATCTCGATTTCTATTGGAACGACGCGATGGAAGAATGCGGGTGTACAGACGTCGACGTGAACGTTTCGCCGACGCTTGCGTTCCCTAGGTGGACAGATTCAGCCGGGGCAGTGTTATGATGTGGGGAACGATCACCTGCCGTAGGAGAAGTGATTTGGTGATGATCCAGGGCAACCTGACAGCTCAACGGTACTGTGACGAAATCCTACGCCCACACCTCTTTCCACTGACTGACTGACTGACTGAGTTTGGTTTTACGCCGCTTTTAGCAATATTCCATCAACATCACGGCGGGGGACACCAGAAATGGGCTTCACACATTGTACCCATGTGGGGAATCGAACCCAGGTCTTCGGCGTGACGGGCCAACGCTTTAACCATAAGGCTACCCCACCGCCCCCAAACCTCCTTCCAATCATTGATCGCCAGAGGGAGTTGTTTCAACAGGACAATGCCAGGCCCCACACAGCACGTCACACAAGAGACTTCCTCCAGAACCACATCAATGAACATCAATGTGCTCCCCTGGCCCTCAAGATCACCGGACTTAAACCCGATCGAACATCTGTGGGATGCCCTGGACAGACGGGTGCGACGCCGTAACCCTCAGCCCCAGACACTTCAGCAACTCTCACAGGCACTACAGGCAGAGTGGGCTGCGATTGGGCAACACGAGATTCTGAGACTTATTCGTTCGATGCCGAGGCGATGCCGTGCAGTTCTGGATGCCCACGGTGGTCACACGAGGTATTGACTTCAGCACCACCACACGTCTCCATGTGACACTCAAACTGACTTTCCTCGAGTTGGTGCCAAAGACGGATAAGTCTGCATTCCCAGTGTGCAATTTCGCTATATTTCATTGACTCATAAAGCCTACAAGATATTTCAAAATAAACATAAAAATACAGTTGAAATTCCTATATGCGTTTCTTTTTTGGAAGAGTATATATATATATATATACGGCCTATAGAAGAGTATCATCTGGGCTGTAGTATAACCATCTATATCAATATGACTTCACACGCTATATATATATACGGCCTATAGAAGAGTATCATCTGGGCTGTAGTATAACCATGTATATCAATATGACTTCACCCTAGAGTTGCTTATTAACGATATTTGCTGTGTACCACAATGAACTGTACTGACTTTTATTGTTTACCAAATCAGTCCAAGATTAGGTATGAGCTATTTCCGTCAATCATGAATGGACTTTATTTTCGTTTGACAAAGATTCTTCGTTTGGGGTCATGTATCATTGGGTCGTATACTTCAGCATCATTTCCCCAAGGGCGTTGTATCACCAATGTTGTTCAGAGACTAATCAAGTGGAAAAATCAACAACCAATTTAGACATAATATATTTGTCTTCGCTCTGAGCAAATACAAACACACACTGGGTACAGTGTTCCATTTTTGGTTTACCCTGACAAACAGGTCGTTAAGATTTATCTGCATCAGCTTCAAAGTCAGTGCTTTATACGTGTATGTCCCGATATAACCATTACAGGATTAAAAAAGCGATCACCCAGCTCGATAATCTCCACCCACGTGAGATGACGTAGGAAGGCGTTACACTTCATTGATTCGCCGTCAGTATGCTAAATCTTAAAATCGGTCTCAATGCCAGCGCTTGATATAGAAAAATCAGTGCTTGCAAAGTATTATTTGAATCGATAGATGTCTATTCCTGGCCGAGCGGGATCCGGACTCTGGGCTGTATCAGAGGCAGGGCCATGTACCAGGAACGACTCGGGCTTAGTTCCATTGTTTGACGGGGTCGGTGCCAACATGGCTCCCCCACTCCAGTCACAGACACTGTTTCTGTGTTGCTTGAAACTGTAGCAGCATCAACAGCAAACTGAGACGTTGTTATTGTAATCCAAGTCGCAAAAACACTTAACACCAATTAGTAGCTTTCTTGTCCCACGCGATACGATGAAGGAGGTACTAGAGATACCTCTGTCGTTTGTTAAACGATATGATTCAATTGTTTTTGTAATTATCTTGTTGCCTACCATGTGTGAGTGTGGCTGGTTTTCATGTCACAATTTGAGCAGTATTCAAGACGACACCAATATACTTCTTACACAGTAACCGTAGCGTCGGAAATAAACTTTGCATGTATTGAAACATTATCCTGGACCCTTTGCAGGTCGAGCAATAAAAGTAGCTTTATCGGCGTCTTTTAAAATAACTCGGTATATTGCATCTGTAGCAGAGTATCTATGTTAGGACATACTGCATTAGGCGATATTCTTACTCTCATGTGTAACTCTACACCTAATTTGGATATATGTGTAAAGCTGAAAGGCAATAAAAGCATGAAGAGAGAGATAGTCGTTTTTCCACGGACACCTTATACCCCATGGAGACTACAGATACGTATATGTTTCACTCACGCCAACTACAATCCAGATGATTGGCTATGGTGTCATCTCTATGTCCTTGTTTTTTAGCTGTCAATGTCGCTTAAAGAAAGATGTTTGTTCGCAAAATTTCGCGTGGGAACAGTTTGAAACTTGACATGAAGTTAACCTTTAACCGCATTTTAAACTTCGACTGTAATACCATATATAGATTGATTTTAATGACAACTTTAACGGTATTTTCAACATTATCTTCAACCTTTTTTCTATCTTTACGATTATCTTGAATCGTACCCTAACTGCCTCTTTAACTGTATCTTTAATAATACATGTAACTTGTACAGTATCTTTAACAGTTGTTGAGTTGGGTTTATCTTTCAAAATTAAGTTTATCTTAAACAGTATTTTTAACTGTTTCTTAAAAATCTGCATCTTGAACCGTATCTTTATCATTAATGGTGTATTTAAGTACACCTGAAACTATATTTTCACAATCATCTTTATTTGTATTGTTATCTTCCAATTTGTCACTAACATTTGTAAACTTAAGCGTATCTTCAACCGTATCTTGAACTGTATCTTGCGGCACTGATCATTTATTTACCTGGTGCTATAATGAGACCCGATGTTTGATAGGCATTTGGAAGTTGGTAGGGTAATACAACACACTTGCAATGGATGTGCGACTTCTTTATCATTTACACTACGTTTCTGGGCTAATACTTGCCCCTTCATCAGGTGAATGACAGTCAATAGTTACAGAGGTATATATAGTATGTACAGGAAGCCAAAGAGTTGTTTTTACAAGGTATATAGAGTATGTACATGAAGCCACAGAGTTGTTTTTACAACTCCTTTGTAAAAACAACTACCCTGTGGCTTCATGTACATGCTATAATGATACATTTAAAGTAAAAAAAAAATCAAACATGTACGTTCATATAGATTACAAAAACTGTTCACGCCGGTTTCAGAACTTTCTTGTTTCAGTCGACTTATTTGCGAGCTCAGTGGATCGTAGACGTTTGGACTTTGGACTTAAACCTATAAAGTTGAATTCAATTGAACTGCATTTTGTTTCTACCTTTGTCAAAATATCATATTGTTCATTTGCGGAGAACACAGTGATGAACTAAGCGTGTTTGTGTTCAAATACTCAGAGGACATTTGTAAAGATGTAATGTAGTATGTCTTGGTATGTGTGTTTGTAGTTTAATGCCATACTAAAAAGATATTCCCAGTAACAAACCCTTGTCATAGCGTACTCAACGCCTGTTTACAATGGCTCAAAAGTAGAGGTGACAACAGGATTCCGACATGTAATAAGCATGTTCTTATGAATCATTTTAAAATAGTGAAACCAAATGTTTGGGAAACGTTGCTAACACGCAATGAAGGTACTGTGCAATGTGTCTGCAGAAATTCTGCAGCGACCAAACTGTCCCAGATCTTTGACATCCATTCATCGTGTGGGAAGACAAGTTCAGTCTTACAAGATCATCAATACCGGTTTGCATACTACGTCTGCTTCAAGAAGATTGTATTTACACTGAATGAGAAGATGAATCTTAAGACCAACCCTGACCATATATCCTTATAAACATACACTCCCAAGTACTAGTGTTGTTCCATGGCGTATGTCCACTGATATTCTAGGCTTTATGCCATGCGCAATGACCCATTCACTGTGACATCGAGGTTCTCGCTTGTCTACACTGTTGTTAAGAGGGATATTTTCGTGACAAAGATGGCTATATATATACTCAGTCTTTATCGTCGTGCTTTGGTAGTACAGGCATCAGCAATGGGTTTTTGACAAAATGAATTGTCCAAAGTATCCCTACTAGCTATTGAGAAATAAATCACGATGAGCTCCAATCACACACGCCGGACTGTGTATCAACTGGTCGGTGTTGGAGTGGGAGGGAAGCTGCTATGACGATGCCGCGAAACAGTATGCAGTTCCTCTAATGACACCTTTGAGAGTGGGTGGAGGGGAGTGGGAGAGAGAGGAGAGGGGGGTGACAGGGCGGGTTATAAAGGAGAGCTCGGACATAAACACAAATAGCCTTAATTTTTGTTAGTCTTTCACACGTCTTGAAACATAGCACTCCTAGGAAATTGCAGAAACTTTAACGTCTTCCATAGAACTGCTGGAACGTCCAACTGATAGGCCTGGGCGAAGACTATTTAGAATTCAAACTGTTGTGTGTGTGGGTAGTTGTGGTCTCCGATGACCGATTGGACATACAGACACACATAAAAGACATACATTTGCCGTTGCAATCGGAGAGAGATAGTACTTATATCGAATATTGAAGGTGAGTAATTTGCGATCGAGGCTGTCTTTTTAACAAAAATTTCTTACTGAATACTTGATTTTTAGTAATTTTGGTATTTTTTAAATTCTAAATTTACGTTATGATTTAGAATTAAAAAAGTCGTTTGTTATAGCATACAGTGATTTCAACGACACAATTTCTGCGCACTATTTTTTCTTGTAACAAACGTTGTCATTCTTTTCTTAGTATTCACCAGTAAATAATCTGTTGAGATTTCATCATCATGTTGTTTTTGTTTTATGATGAAAAGGATATTTTATGGGCTTTACGAACACTTGGCATAGTCACCATTCGATAGAGATTGATAAACACATGCTCATGATGTCATGAATCGTACTCTGCTTTTTCACTGGTTTCTTTTGAATAATTTATAATATTACCAAACTATCAGTAATAGCAAGCCCCAGGCTCACCTTAAAGGATGATGGTAAACACGATGTTTTGAAGTAAATGTTTAATCACAGTGCATGTTAACAAGCAAACATTCGCAGTTTGTGAAGATACAGTGCCGGGCAAAAGGAGGTATACACATATGTTTAATTGTGGCTAGAAATGAAACCTAGAAGAAATGGATAATCGATAGAGATGTATTTGATGCTATACCCGGCACAGGCTTGCAGTTTGCCGACTGTCTCAGCCTAGTGACTACATGCTAACATTTGAATTTGTTTTGGTCAAATATATATTTTCAAGTGTGTACTTCATTTGCTCGGCAGTGGTGACAAGCTTTTTCTTCCAGCTACTGTAAAATGGATTATTGTCACCACTTATACCACTTGTATGACGATGATTGTCACAACATATATCACTTGTGTATGACGATGCTTGTCACGGCTTATACCACTTGTATGACGATGATTGTCACCACTTATGCCACTCGTTTGGCGATGATTGCCATCACTTATACGACTTGTATGACGATGATTGTCACAACATATATGACTTGGGTATGACGATGATTGTCACCACTTATACGACTCGTATGACGATGATTGTCACCACATATATGACTTGTGTATGACGATGATTGTCACCACTTATACGACTTGTATGACGATGATTGTCACAACATATATGACTTGTGTATGACGATGATTGTCACCACTTATACGACTTGTATGACGATGATTGTCACAACATATATCACTTGTGTATGACGAAGCTTGTCACGGCTTATACCACTTGTATGACGATGATTGTCACCACCTTTGCCACTCGTATGGCGATGATTGCCATCACTTATACGACTTGTATGACGATGATTGTCACCACATATATGACTTGTGTATGACGATGATTGTCACCACTTATGCCACTCGTATGACGATGATTGTCACCACTTATACGACTTGTATGACGATGTTTGTCACCACATATATGACTTGGGTATGGCGATGATTGTCACAACTTATACCACTTGAATGACAATGATTGTGGGTACAGTACATGTCGTATTTATATGTGAAATCGATGGTCAGCAAATTCAAAGGGTAATTGATTGATTGCTGTTGACTGGGACAACATGTTTATTCGCACCCGGAAAATAGATAGAACTAAAATAATAATAATTATTAATGTAATTCTAAAACACCGAAATTCGATTTCATGTTCCAAACTTTAGATATGTCCTAATAGATATGCCCTTTAGATATTTAGTATGCAATAGCATTTCTGTTTCTTGTTTCGATAACGGAATTTAAAATTGAAACTATGCAGACTTCGCTTATCTGACTGAAACATATTGTTCGTTTGACATCCTAACACAATAACGTACTTGTGTTGAAGTAATACATGATACGTGTGACAATGTTCATTAATATTCTTAGAAATAGACAGAGTGATGATACATATTCAGGGACATATCCACGAACTTTAAAAGATCTAAATACTATTAAACAATCAATAATTGAGGTTAAATATTCCATGCATGCTTTACCCACATTACGATGCCACGCCAAAGGGGTAACTGAAATACTGAATAAAGGGCAGAAAACTTCATATATCGTTTGCTAATGTTTTGCGTACCTACTTTAAGTAATACACATATGAGCGCAAATTGTTTTTAATCAATGTCTAGGTCTACCGTTTAGGTACGCCACGACACAATTGTTGGTCGAAGGCCACCAACCCAAACAGGATATGACAGTTTATCTGCAAGAAGTCGATGTTACCGTTACCCCAGTCGATGTTACCGTTACCCCAGTCAATACAGCGTGTTGCACTCAGCTAACCTGACGCTGTACTGGCCAGAGTCACTGCACAACATTCGATCATGTGTTAGCACTCTGTTGTGTTGTGATCATGTGTGATGCTGTACAATGCTGATACGAAAGTGTTCGCTGGCATGAAGCAACGCTTCGGGAGTGAGTGAGTGAGTAGTGAGAGGTGAAAGAGCGAGTAGTTGTTACAGTTATTGGGATAGTTTAGTGCCGACCATCAGTACAAAGTGACAGAGGTCTTAAACTTAGTTTTGAAAATGATTTTATCAATAATGTCATTGGTGAACTCCCGGATGGTGTGCGAGTACCACATATTCCATAGTTCCAATGACTGTATGCTCAGTTTCCTATACTTCACCTTGACATAGGTGCCTCCAGTGAAGACCGTACAGAATACACAGCATCTGTCAATTGCTATCTGGACGTTATTGATAAAATTTATTTCAAACATATCTGTAACTGTATTCCTCTCATATAATAGATAAGGACAAACGTTATGGATGAACAACCTCTCTATTCAGGTAATGAGGCGTTTCGATACAGATTCTTGTATCGTTGTCAAGCAGCATATCTGCACATACATGTCGTAAGAGGCGACTAACGGGATGAGGTGGTCACGCTCGCTGACTTGGTTGACACATGATCGATGCTCATGATGTTGATCACTGGATTGTCTAGTCCAGACTCGATCATTTACAGACCGCCGCCATATAGCTGGAATATTGCTCAGTGCGGCGTTCAACAACAAACAAAATAATCCCAACGAATTCCCCCTTCACAGATTAGTTAGAAACAGTGCAACATTTTATGCTTTCAAGAATGGCATCCGGTTTTGCAATGAACAGCCGTACAAAATGAGTGTCTAACAATTTCTGAAAAACAGAAAGTGAAACTGATAATTTGTTCCAACAAGCTGAAGATTCTAAGGAATAAAACGAAGGGATCAAAGAGGGCCATCATCTCAAACTTAACATATTTGTAAATTCGATGTCAAGGTCTCGCGGTGACACCATGTAATCATGTTTCGGTGTGTTGTCTGCTTTCTGTATGTTTCCTGTGTGAGGAACAATACAAATAAATCCCTCGCGGACTGATGTTCATAATATATATTTATTAAACTTTCATCACATTTTATGAACAAAACGAAAAATTACCACCAGTAAGTACACTAAGAACAACCAAGTTCGGTAAATCATATGAATGTCATAACATTTAGAAACTAAAAAAATGACTTATAATTTTAAACGGAATACGATATGTCTGGGCCTCATCTGTTGTCTGATGGTGATTGCCCTTTGTTCTTGGAATCTTTTACCATAACATTTTCCGTCAGACAACAGGCATATTGTATTTCTTAAAGATATAAATGGAACATTATTTTTACTTCAGTTTCTTTGCTCTTCTTCAGAATTAAAACCATTTGGCCGATTAAAAGGTTGGGCTCTGAGAACATTATTGCTACATATCAACAGATAATGTGTGTTGTGTTGCCATGAAGGGTGCTTGGATTGTGCTTAACGAACACTTGAACTACCACTTATGTGCTACTTTCTGCAGTATTTTGCATGTTTCTTTAATACAGTATTGTCTCAAGATTTACGAATACCTATTTGAACATGTTATTTTACTAGAATATCGACGAAATTCTGAAACTACCGAAACAAAACCCAGACATAATAAAATTTCCTGTACTATCACTGTATCCTGACGCCTAGAGCAAGCTGGCATGTTATCATGAGCAATTTTCAAATTTCTGTTGAAATGATACATCAATAAAGTTTGGTATGTATGATTCGAAGTTAGAAATGATATAAATTATCATTTACTTTTAAGCTAAAGATGACTGTTTCAATGTTACGCAGGTGCAAAGCTGCTGCCCGTGACCTTTCACCTGTAATGAAAGCTGTAGATTGCCTCCTCATCAGCGCCCTTTCGTGCCTACTCCTCACACCGTCTACAGGATTCACTACAGGCTTGCTTGACATGTGAGTACGTGATGAGAAGTTTTCACCATGCACGGCCATGCTGTGACATTTTGGTGACACGTTGTTACCTCCCGTGAATATTTTGTTGTAGTTGAATTCCACACTGATCCATGTGGAGCTGACTAAACGAAAACTGGGCTGCACGACGTCTACTTATGAAGGGATGTTGTTTGTGAAAGCTTATTTGTGAAATCAATTGATATTATAAGGAGCATGTATATGTTGGTTCATTATTCCTGGTTATCCAATGAATCCCATATATACTTTATACAATATATGGTAGCTATGATACGCTATACAACAATGATCTTTGGCCCACTTCTCAACAACCAAACCATGTCGTGAAAAAGGTCAGAATAACGTTATTTGGAAGATGTTACCGCAACAACGACCAGGGAGAAGTTATCAGTCAAGAATATAGGAATGTGTTGTTTTGGTCTGTCAAAGGAATGGGGAAAACCCGAACTCTGGTACTAAAACACTGGAATGGTAATAGGAAAATAAGAAGTATAACCTGGGATTCGAACCCACATGGATCGAGGACTTAATTCACGAGTTGAGGGTCTTCAGATAATTGGGAGTCACACATGTAATTGTTTGAACTGTGGGTTTCAGTTATCCATTCCGATACTTTTCAGGGCTTTTTTTTTGCATTTTGCGACTAGTTATTCTCTGGTCGTTGATATTGTATACTGAATGACCTAAATATTGTCATGACTGATCTGCTCACTAATACGATCATACGTACAACAAATTTAAGAATCTAATATGAATCAACGTTTGAATCAATTAATAGATTGATGTATGAAGTAATTATCAACTCATGTGTGAAAATCCAAATAGGAATCAGTATGGGAATGAATCTATAAATCAATACATTGATCAACGTTTAATCAGTTAATGAACAAAGCCTTTGAGAAGCGAGTTAGTATGTTTTGTCTGACATATTCCCGTAGTGAGTGAAGGTCAAGGTCAACCGCTGTTCCGGAAAATAGTTTCACTTTGATATATTGAAGATATAGTCATTGGTAATGTCTAAACTTTATGTCAGTGCACGGTTAAGGTTGCATTAACAGAACTAGGAATTGGTGGAATGCGTGTTTTCCCCGCCAATATCCCAATGTATTTCTCAACACGTTCTTGCATAGCTTGCTTCTACGCGAATAGATACTAACATCCTATTGCGGGCGTAATGTAAAAACCGATTTGGTATGGAGAAGTGGCCGATATGATGCGTTCCAATTAAACCGATGGATCTAGCGAAGCGATCATATCGACATTAGTGTAACCTCCAATTATCCTCTGAAATCGTTCTACTGCCTGTGTGACCATGGTGCCATCCCCCCGGCTGCCCCATGGCCAGAATAATGGGAAGTGCCACCACGTGAAGTTGCCGGGTAAGAATGACCCCACAAGTAGCCAACTAAAGCGGTGTAATTAGCTGAATCAGCCTCCCACACACTTCTCATCTAGGGGGGCAATAGACAGGTTATTGTGCCTGGGCACAAACTTCAACCTTTAATTAAAACAAAGAATAGGTTTTCTACTTTCGTTCTCCCACACAGGACGTCTGGTAAGAATTTTAATTAAGTAAGGACTATGACAAATAACGTTTTCCCTGCCAGTTTTTGTATCCCTGAACGTATTAAAATAAATAAGGGCAAAATCATTCTACGATCTCACTATATCATGAGCAAGTGTGGATGAATCGTGAGGCAAACAGTCAAGCGTCTCCTGTCCTATCATCCATTCCCAACACATGAGTGAGTGAGTTTAGTTTTACACCGCAATATTCCAGCAATATCACAGCGGGGTCACAAAATGGGCTTCACACATTATGACCATGTGGCGAATCGTCCCCCAACACATGAACAACCATGTCAATCACTTTGCCCCAGAAGATACAGGAATGCATGGTAAAAGTCGAAATAAAGAAATACATCGAAGATTATATTGTCCGAAGCGCGAAGACACTGGTTCTATTACACAAATGGGTACATTGTGAGAAACCCATTTCTGCTGTCCACCTCCGTGATATTGCTGGAATATTGCTAAAAGCGGCGTAAAACGTATCTCACCCACTCACACTCTTAAACGACTGGGTCACTCTTGACGTCAAGAGCACATTTAGAATTTGGAGTTTGATATACCCAATGAAGAGCCTAAAAGGAAAACACGAAACCTCACATACATACTCATGCCAAAAATGGTTGTCACCCCCCTCGTATCGCATTGGCCTCGATTGATGTGCATGATGTCAGTCAGTTTGGCATCTGGTCCAGAATCGAATGTTTAGAGTCCGCCGTCATATAGCTGGAATAATGCTTCCAAACTAAGACCTTCGTATTATATTGAAACACTACAGAGATTGTACGGCTTTGATTGACTACATCGTGATGAACGCAAAGTGTTTTATAGCAAATAGGCTTAAATATTTCTTACCGCATTACACCTCGGACCATTCTGACCAAACTACAGCCAGATTACACTATTACAAATTATTAATACTAACAGTTCGCCAAGAAGTCATCAAAGACAGTTGATGTTGGCGCAGTGTTGACTAAGCAGGAACATGACCGACTGACATTTCTACCAGTACACTGTGACGGGGGCGGTGTTGGCTAATCAGCCAGTAATTACTACACTGGGAGGACATGCTCAACTGCCGAGAGACGCCGACAGACGGGGAAATTGGGAGATGTAATTGGACAGATACAATGTAGAAGACGTATCACCACATTGAATAGTTGACGAACATGTCCTTTGTGGGTATTGGAAACACAACTTCCACCGGTACATGTAGTTGCAAGTAAATAGGGTGTTGGAATACACGTTCATGCAAATATTCAAACTATTCTAAATGCAAGAAACTTAACTTTGTAAATTCTCGTAAATCCACGCCTTCACATTGTCAACGTTTTAAATAATGACCAGATTTCTACATTGCCATTTTGTTATTCAAGTTTACCTTCTTTATACCCTCCATCAGTAAGGTAAATTTATTTCAATTAATCAAAACAACTACTTTCGACTTTCAACATCATATGCATAAAACGAAATGAGGTAAAACTTGAAATCTAAAACGGTGCTGCCCAAACATCTTCACTGCATCACTGACATTGACATCAGTCCCATGTTACATGAATTATACATTTGCTTTTACCTCAGGAAAATGTGCAAATGAACAAAACAACTTGTTTTGCTGCCAAGATGACAAAATAAAATACCATGATCTCTTTTGAGATTGTTCTCTTTAACAGGCATTTATGTACTATGATGCCAAAGTCTCGTAGAAAACATAACGTTGAGTGGGACGACACTTCTAACGTCTCCTCCGCCATGATGAAACGTTAAATGTCACCGTCGACGTAAAAAATAAGATAAAAAGAAAGAGAACGATATGTCGACTTTAAGAAAGTATTAACAAATTATTGAAGCAAAATAACAATTTGTCATCAAAGTATAATGATACTTTAATGTCCAAGGCAATTTATCAAATAGGACTTGCTATTTCCTGAAGTATGAAGCAACATGATAAATCCATTACATGCAGGCTTCCAGTACGCCACATATCTCCAACCACAGGTGCATCACGCCCGCACAGCTTTTCAATTTTCACGTTTCATGGGACACTTAACAATTTAAGCACTTTTTAGACATGTAGTTTAAATTCTCTACTTGTGAGCGAATTTTGAAGTGATTACCTATCAAACTTGACTCATTTTTTAAAATGGTTTCCTATTTGAGAAGTTGTCAAGAATTCTGAAGCAAAAGCACAATGAAACGTCATTAGTTTCGACGCCGTCTTTCCCCAACGTTTGTAACAGGATATGTTTGCTCTTTCGTAAACACCTGGTATAACCACTGATTTTCAGTGATATATTCATAATGACAATTTGATCACTATTTTTCTTTATCGGCAGATAACCGAGACTCATTATTCTCTGACGTTAACGCCGCTATATAGCTGGAATATTGCTGAGTCCGGCGTAAAACTTAGCTCACTCACTCTGACGTTAACGTGTATATTCCAACAGAGGAACATTTCTACGTAACAAATAGTTTCGAGATGTTACCTTCACCTGTCCTGTAGTGAATAACATATTTTGTGTTGTGTGAGGGGTGTTTGACCGTTGTCGAATGACATGAGATTTGCTGGGTTCGTTTCTTGGCATAAAAACGCTAACTTGATTATGTCAGTGGCTATTGCTCCTGATGGAGCAGAATATGCTCACCCTGTACACTATGGGCAGTGGAGTAGCGTAATACTTAAAGCGCCCGCTTGTCAAGCTGAAGACCCGGTTTCGATTCCCCACATGGGTACAGTGTGTGAAGCCTATTTCTGTGTCCCCTGTCGTGATATTGCTAAAAGCGGAGTAAAACCGTACTCACTAACCCTTTTCATATAAACACCAGGTGGTCATGTCATTTCCATCACTATTTTGACTTTTACTCAAACGTGGAAACTGGGAGATAATGGAAACTGATCATTCTCTGGCAATGACATTTGTCATGTCAATGGTGACTCAGTTATCAATTTTTCTTTTAGGATATGTGTTATATATACTGATACTACTCTATTTTTGTACATCTACTACATTAAGACAACGTCTTCGTGTGAATTAATTTGGTACTTGTATGTCGCCGTGACATGACTTGTGTCATGCGGACTATAATTATTTAACCGTGTCTTGGAAACAGCTATGTTCCCAACTGCCTTTTTCTACCACGCGTATATGTTTGAGTACTGTTAATTCTATAGAGTTGTAGGTGTGGAGAGTCAGATGGATGTGGCTATTGCTCCTCCCTACAAAGTCTGTATCTATATAACCACTCTCTCTATACATTTATGCCTATCATAATTTGACAGAGCAGGTGCTTTGAAGAGAAGGACAACTCGATGACTATGAAAAAGCATTATGCATGCAGATAGTGGCGCAGAGCCTTGCTTCTTGTAAAGCGAATTAAAGTAAAGTCAATAATTACAACAGATGTCTACA